AAGACCTATACTAGCATATGCGGCAGAAACAAAACCTGAAACATCTAAAACACTCCAAATCATGGAAGAAACTGAAATAAAAATCGTTCGCAGAATAGCTGGGAAATCACTATGTGACAGAGTAAAAAGCAAAGACCTTTAGGAACGCATGCCAGATCGAGATTATCAACGACTGGGTACTAAGCAGAAAATTTGAGTGGAATGACAACATAACTCGCATGTCTGATGACCGAGTGGTCAAAATATCCCGAGATAAGTCACCATCGGGGAGACGATGCGTTGGAAGACCTCGAAAGCGCTAGAGCGACAGTCTGACTATATAAAGCGCATCGCGATGAAGAACTGCCATTGTGCCTTCCTGGAAGAGAAGAAGAAGAAGAAAAAACACTAACAAAAATAATAATCAACCGAAACGTAATACTAAAAAAACAAACACAACAATTATGCTACAACTGCTACCCTTAAAATAGCATTCTAAAACGTTAACAGATTGCAACAAAGGGTCATAAAAACAAAAACGTTCTTACACAATAACAGTACTGATAATATACTTTTTCTTTTGAAAATATGCTTTACTAAAAGAAACTACAAGTATGTAAGAAGTCTATATTACAATATATAGGACACAAGACATTCATCAGGGAAGGCAAAAGTAACATTGAACATTAACTACGTAGTCGAATTATCCAAGAACACCTTAAAGCAACTGTAATTGTAGAGTACAATTTGATATCAATAAATTTCCAATTTCGGCTGGATATGTACCGCAAGGATAAAAAATGACCTTACAGAAATACCTGAAGTACTTTCAATAGAAAGTCACAAATCCATCTCAACAGAAGGTAGTAATACCAAACGTATTACTTTGGATTCGAAAATTATTACAATTAATTAAACATTAAAAAAAGCGTTTCCTAATGTTTGATATAAAGACCTACACAGAACTAGAACCCACTAATCAATGCAAATTCATAATCTACTTGCACCATATCTAAGGTACAGGACAGTTATTATGAAAATCAATAACGTAATTAAAGAAATGAAAGCTGACGTACTTCAAGCTTGTACTAGTTAATCATTCTAGACCCAGATGTAGCAGTGATTTTGACTTTGTTACAAGAGCACACAACAAAAATAGATAAATGAGCTAAAGTAAAAAGAATTAAAACGAAAGTTAAGCAAATGCAATATAACATTACTTTTACATTGCGTATAATAAACTTCGGATATTTACCAAAATAACATAGTTGATCCACAAAGTAGCCAAAAATTCCAAACTCAGCCTTGAAATTAAATTTAAGATTTTTTAACGTCATTATGAAACCTATATGAGATAATATCACTATGGTGGATCGGCGGCTATGAACCATATAACAAAGCTGTAATCAATGCAATCAAAAATATTAAGAACTGTAGTATACGCACCATGTTTTACATTAAATGAAGATATACGCGAAAGGACAAAATATTCACGACAGTAATAAACAAAAAAACAAAATAAAGATTTATTTACAACTGCAATATACTTGAATAATGTAGCCATCAAAACGTAAACTACTCGCAATAGAAAAAGACTATAAAGAAAAAATTTTGCTGATTTACGTACATAAGATTTTTAAAAGAAAACAATAACCCTCAACATGTTAAGCGCCACGCTAATATTTGGGGAAATTTCCGTCATGCTATTTGCGTTACTTTTATTGAAAAACAGCTAAACTGATTAAGTTACTGGCGACTTACGCTGCCTTAACTTTTCTTTTAGTGTCGGTCAGGGGTTAATGATGTTCAACTTCAGTTGGTGTTTAACGTGTTGAGATAGTATTTACAACAACAACAAAATAAAAAAAAAATAGAAAAATTAAAAGGGAAAAAAGAAAAAAAATACAAAGGAAAACAAAAAGCTACGAATTCTTATAACTAGAATTGTAAGTAAAAAAAAGACAACCCTTTGACTGCTATGGGCGCATATATGCGTCCGACATAAGCCATCGATATAGATTCTTGACGCAAATGCGCGCTCGGCGAAGTTTTGGCTTTTTACTGCTGTCTTATATGTATGCTCGGAAATACAAAGGAAAAAAAATAGTATTCAGTTCTCAGCGATCCCTTCAACTTAAAGTAGTTAGCAGTCAAAGGGTTAAGCGCACATATCCTCTACAGTTTACATCTTTTACAGTTTACCCATTGATTGCTATTCTTATTTAGAGCGTCTTGCCTTGGGTACTGAGGTTATATTATTTATTTATTATCTAATCATATAAGTTATAGTTTCTATAATAAGAATTGATAAATAATGTTTTTTACACCGTATAAATATTTCATTTATCGTTTCAATTCTTAACTGAAAGAGCCATTTGTAATTAGTTTAAAATTGCAGCACACAATACATATCACAATAAAAACTATAAGTATTTGGCTTCGCGTTGCATCGGAAGCGGTCCCCCAAAATTTTCAGCCAATGACACCCCAGCAATATGTATGGCGTGTCCCTCCTATAGGGTCTCTAAACAAGACGATACTGTGTTTTATTTTAACGATTCATAGTAATGTGTAAAATTTATAGAACAAGAAAAGACTTTTGATTACAGGTATCTCTCCAACAACACGATTCACAAATTGCTGTTGATTCTCCAACAACACGGTTTCTCCTAACACGGTTTCGCAAAAAAACGATTCAAAAATTTCAGTAAATCCTCAAACAACACGGTATCCTATAAAATGGTTTTCTTTCAAAAAACCTTTGTACAACATTGTACTTCTACAGCCGCGGGGAAGCTTACCGTCTTAAAGATACAGTGTTGCAGAAAGTATTTCTTTTCATTTCCATAGCCTGAAAACAAAAGTGTCTCACGCTGTTGTAAACTGAAATCATGAACCTTAAATGCGTATTGGAAGAACTGAAGAAGGCTCTCTTCAGTTAAAATAAAAAACGTGAATCGTAAATCGTCACAAAATGAAATTGGTTGCATATCAGAACTTGCTAAATCAATCGGAGGCGAGGTTTTGTGGAAATAGCTATTGTGGACGTTTAAGGTTTATTAGTGGAAGAAGTTAACAAAGCGGATTTGATAGAAATGATATCCGAAACTGTAAATCAAATTGATCCTGAGGACACTAGCACTAATGAAGATTGTGCTGTTAATAATTGAACATGAAAAATATTACAAGAAGGCCTAAGCTTAGCTGAAAATCTCGAGTCATTTTTATTGAATGCAGATCATTCCAAAGCAAAGAGCTGAAAATTCGAAAGGAAGCATCAAAACTGTTTAGCTTCATACCAAGAAATTTACAATGACCTGGTAATAAACAACAAGCAAAGTAAAATTACAGATTTTTTAAAGAAGGAAGAAGATGCAATAACTCTTTAAGTGAATAAAAACGTTCTGAAAATGAAGGTGATATCATTCCACTGAAAAAACGTTCTCGGTTGATTAAACTGAGAAGTGACGACGAAGAAATAATTAAATTAAAGTTGTGTTAAATTAAGATAAATTTTTTTTTTATATTCTTCATACATTTATATTTTTAATTAAAATTTAGTTGTTTATTTAAAAAAAATTATATTTTATTTCTGTTTTATCATGACTTTTTTTTTGTATACATAAAATGTTAAAAAACATTATTAAAAAAAATGTAAAGTAAAAATGTTTTCCATTTATGCTAATATTAGTTCGTAAAATGCTTAAAATTTAGCGTTCTAGACACGACTACCTACTCAAGAGGTCGGAGTGAGTGTAAGATATTGTAAATTGATCTTATAAACTAATTGTATAAAAAGCTACTTGTCGAATAAAAGAAAATCTTCTATGTCTTGAGTGGTACCGGAAAAACAGATATCCTTAGCCCGATACAAAATGACTGATTACTCTACTATATGTATTTTTATTAAATATTTACTAATTATAATAACATTCTAATGTGTTGAGGAAATGAGTAGGCTTAATGAGTAGAACGCCGAGCAATTGCAGTGGTCAGATTTATTAAAAATGCGTACGAGTACACCGCGTGTCGGTTATGATTTAAACTGAGTGGCCGTTGAGCAGACTACGTTCCGAACCTTTCACTGAGAATATTATACTGAGTGGACTTGAGACGGCGTGATTATATTAATCACTTTTGAATCGGACGATGAGGATTATATTAATCCCATCGAACTTATAACTTTGTGAGAAGACGTAGACAAAGTTGAGAGGACGCGTGTGGTTGGAACGAGTCGATGTGAACTAAAGAACAATGGCTGCCTGAGCAGCCGGCGTCACGGTGCTTCTTCACCGCCGAGATGAGTTATGGCGAGTCTGCATTGAGCGACAACTGTTGAGCGTTCTGATTGGGCAGATTAATTCCCAAACATTTCHGCCCGCCATCAGCAACGAAGTTGATGATGAGTTATGCTGCCTTTTGAGCGGCCACTGGAAGGACTGCGAGCTTGGTGATCGGCCTGGTGAGTGTTGTGGTAGCCGTCTTCAGCGATACCACCTTGGTGAGTCCATCCTCCCCTGGCGGCAATTTGAGCACCCTAGCCATGGGCCATTTTCCTGGAGGCAAACGCTCATCAGTAAGGAGAACGAGAGAACCTACCTTAATTTGATTGTGAGCGTGATGCCATTTTGAGATGGCTTGTAGTTGTTGCAAATACTGAGTTGACCACATGCGCCAGAAATGTTGAACTCGTTGCTGGATGAACTGCCATCTGGAGAGCCGACTTGCTGAGATATCCAAGAGTGAGCCTTCAGGAACAGCATTGAGTGCCGTTCCGATGAGAAAGTGCCCTGGAGTGAGCACTGAGATGTCTTCTGGATCTTCACTGAGCGGTTCGAGTGGTCTGGAGTTGAGAATGGCTTCAACTTGAGCTAGGAGTGTGGAAGTCTCCTCATACGTGAGCAGTGTGTCTCCGACTGATCTTCTGAGATGRAACTTCAGAGACTTGACTACTGCTTCCCATTTCCCACCCATGTGGGGAGCTGCAGGCGGGTTGAAATGCCACTGTGTGTTGTCTTGAGCTAGCAGAGAAGAGATCTCCCGATGTCCTGAAGAGCTCTCTGAGAAACATTGCTTGAGCTTAACTTCAGCGCCCAAGAAGTTAGTGCCACATCAGCGTAAATGTCTGACGGGACACCCCGTCTTGAGGTGAAGCGTCTGTACGTTGCAATGAAACCCTCTGCTGAGTAATCTGAAACGACATCGAGATGAGCKGCCGAAGTTGATAGACAGACAAATACACAGATCCAACCCTTATGAGTCTTGGAGCCACGTCCCTTCCAAGTCTTGAGCGTGAGCGGTCCAGCGTAGTCAATGCCTGTGTGAGAAAACGGGCGTGATGGAGTGACTCGCGCCAGAGGTAGTTGGCCCATCAGTTGCTGAGCACGGATCCCCCTGTAACGAGCACACACCACACACCTGAGAACATATGACTTCACTGGAGCTCTTCCTCCGAAGATCCAGTAGAGTTGTCTGATGAGTGCCAGAGTCGACTGAGTGCCTCCATGCATCGTTTTCTTGTGAGCATGGGCGATGATGAGTTCTGAGAGCCTGGAGCTACGGGGGAGAATAGCTGGATGTTTTGCCTCGTACATGAGTTCGGACTTTGAGAGGCGACCGCCCACCCTGAGCACACCGCCGGCGTCAATGAATACGGTGAGTCTAGAGAGTGGGTGCGAACTTGGCAGCTGAGATCGTCTTGAGAGCACTGAGATTTCTTCTGAGTAGTACGCCGATTGAGTGGCCTTGACCCAAAAGAGTCGTGAGTCTTCCATGCTTTTAGCTGAGATACAGGCTGCTGGTGTCGAGTCAAGCTCTCCTGAGAGCCTCTTGAGAAATCTATTGCAGAGAGCTGTAACTCGRAGCAACCTGTTGAGCGATGAGTATCGATGAATGAGATCCCAATGATAACTCGGAGAAGATCGTACCGCGTGATGTGCAACACGAGCACGAGCTTCTTCTGCACATGAGTCATCAGGAGTTGTATCGATCTGAGCTGGCCATGATACCACTGATTGAGTGAGCCATGGTGGTCCCGTCCACCATAGAGAGTGCTTTTCCAGCTGATCTGTGGTTATCCCACGCGATGCACAGTAAGTTGAGTTTGATGTGCTAGGCACATACTTTCAATGAGCGTTCCTTGAGAGTTCTTGAATTTTGATCACGCGGTTGCGTACGTAATCTTTCAATCTTGATGGATGAGCTTTGATCCATGTGAGAGCTACCTGAGAGTCCGTCCACAAGGTTGTCTTATTTATGATCATGTTTAGAGTAGCGCAAACATGATTCATGAGCGTGGAGAGTAGCAGCGCTGCTAAGAGTTCTAACCTCGGGATGGTTAGCCGCTTGAGTGGTGAGACCTTCGTCCTTGAACAAATAAGAGAGACCTTGGCGCCAGTGGACGGCGAGTTGACAACGAGATACACAACGGCTGCCATTGCGAATTGCGATGCATCAGAGAAGCCATGCAGTTTAACAGTTGAATTAGAGAGCGTGTTGAACCAACGTGGATTGGAGAGTCTGGCCAGACTAATGAGATCTTGTCTGATGCTGAGCCATTGTGAGATGAGCTGTTCCGAGAGTTGTTCGTCCCAGTCGAGATTATGCAACCAGAGAGCCTGAAGAAAGATYTTAGCCTTAATTRTGACTRGAGATGCGAAGCCTAATGGATCAAAAATTTGTGCTACTTCTGAGAGGACAAGACGTTTCGAATATCGTTTGGAGGGAGAAGCCGAGATTGTTGAGAAGTCAAACCTGTCCTGTTGAGGTGACCATCGAATACCAAGGATTTTGGTATCGCAGTCGTCGAATGAGATGCCTGAGGTCTCGCCAAGCTCAGACGAGACCTCTCTCAACAGTTGCTGAGAAGTAGAGTGCCACTTAGCCAGCGGGAATCCGCCCGCATGGCAGAGCCGTATGAGTTGTTGAGCAGTCTCCACGAGCTGTTCCACTGTGTCGGATCCTCCGAAGATGTCGTCAGCATAACGCCCATGAGTGATCGGTTTGACAGCAAGAGGATACTGAGAGCCTTCATCTTCAGCAAGCTGAAGGAGCGTTCGTACGACTAGGAACGGTGCTGACTTTGTTCCATACGTGACTGTAGTGAGCTGAAAATGAGATTCAACCTGCTGTTCATTCACCCACACGATGCGTTGCAGATCCTGGTCATCTGGATGTATCTTGATTTGCCGGTA